CCTGCCTGTCCACGTTAGGCAGCAAGAGAAGTGCTCTGAGGTGAGAGGACATATGGAGTCCTAGACAGTGGTGAATGCTTGCCTGATTGGTCAGGGGCCTAGAAGGGGAAAGAGCAAATGGGGGACAAGGAAGTCTGAGGAGGCGGGGGCCAGCTGGAAGAGAGAATGCCATGTGAGGAAGGGGCGCCAGCCTCCAGGATGTAGGGTACATCCCGAATCAACAACCATTCAATGGCCATGCCAATTGTAAAGGTCTGGCCTGGCCAGTTCAGAATAACGTTACAGGGCCATCCAGCCCCAAAGCTCACCATGGGATTACCTGAGGCTTTTCTGGTGACCGTATCACAGTTTTTCTTCCAGTCCTGATTCTTCCACTGTTTTTCTGCCCAGTCCTGCTTCCTTCACTACCGCATAGGCATTGATCTTGAGCATGCTCCCCAGGAAACCACCTACATGCAAGCCAACAGAATACACACAGTCTTAGGAACCCAGAGGGAGAAGTGGGAGTGGCCCCACTTTCTCTCAATACCAATGACTTAGAAAACATGTAGGTTTTGACCCCATAGCTCTGGGTCCTGTGGTTTAGAGTTCTCAGGGGGAAATGCTACCACCACAGGACATAGCAAGCAACCCACTAAAACTTGGGCTATCGCTTCCACCTGGTTACTGCAAGCTTCTTATGCCAAGAAGCCTGCACACAAGGAGAGGAGTCACCATGCTCGCCGGGTAATTGATGCTCATCATCAAGAGGACATAAGGCTGCTATCACATGACGGGGACAGGAGAGAACTGCTGTGACACCCAGGTGATCTCCTGCTTCCTGATACTTTCTTGCCCAATTTTGATGGTGAGTGGACAGGTGCAGCATCTGTCATTCAAGAAGTGCATGGTGACCAGGAGCTCAAGCTTCTCGGGGAGGAGGGCATGGGCCACCCACCAGGTAATGCTGGAGAGATGCTAGAGTAGAGAGGTTCTAGAATGGATGATGAAAGAGGGGAATGATGAGTATCAGTTATACCCATGCAGAGGCAGGAGTTGTAGTTCGTGCTACCAAGTTTTGTCCCTGAAGTTTTTCCCAGGAAAAACTGTCCAGTTTTTCCCAAGTTTGTCCCTTCTGTATCTTGGATGAACTGGCCCCAGAAGATAGTGTAGGAAGTGAGGGGGTGGGAGCAGTGGGAAGCCTGGGCTGCAGAGGGTGCGGTGATGCCCCGCCCAGATCACCACCTCCAGACCCACTGCTCTCACTCACTCTTCCTGTGTTGGAGGCTGACTGGTTTCAGCCAAGTCCCTCTCCAGGACTTGCTGTGAAGACAGCCACCTGGACCAAGGTCACATTCCCCTCTCAGAGGCAGCCCACATTCAGTGACTGGCCATGCGGGAATATTGAGGTCCAGTCCCCTTCACCCCAATTCAGGGCAACTCTGCAGAGCCAGCCCAGCCTCAGGGCTCCCTGGGGGAGGAGCTGAGACCATCTTTGTGCATGCATGGCAGATAGGCTTCTCCCATTGCCAATCCTACCTCCCCCACTCTTCCATGGGCCGCACCCCCCAATAAATCACCTGGTGCAATCTCTGTCTTAGGTTCTGTTTTCTCGAGACCCCACCTGAGATCATCGCCACATGTATTTTCATAACTCGCATTTTTATTTACGAAGCCCCGTATGACTTTTAGTCTGACAGACAGGCCAGTGTAAGCTAAGCCGATAGGAAACCAGAAAAAAAGAAAGGAGCTATTATTTGGTCTGTCACCTAATAATTCAGTGGTCAAGTCTTGTGTCACACACACACACACACACACACACACACACACACGGATGTGAAATTCAAATTCTTACAGCTTCTTACTGAAAAAAATAGAACAATCCACTTGGACGAAGCCAGCATTGATGGAAATATCTCTTACCCTGCCACCAGCTCTGCCCAGGGGCAGAGACTGATGGTTTCCAACAGGAAGGTCCAACCAGAGCCAGTCCCTAAGCCAATCAGAACAATCAGAACAATCAGAATATGCATGAGATTTAGAATTAGGTTCTTAAGCTTAGTGGTTGCTGCTTAAGGAGCCACAGTTTTCTTAAGTAACTTTGTTTGTTCCATGCAGCAAAGAGCTTTTGTCCTGGTTCACGAACTTCTTTTTCCTCCTTGGCCTGGAGCTGCCATGAACCCTAGCCCTCTAGTTCAACTCCATGACCATCTGCTTACTCCCTTCTCCCTACAGAGCTGCATACTGTTTTTACACATGCCCACCTCCCTGTACCCCAGCTTGAAGCTGCTGTGCTTCAGTCCACATGGACCCCATCCCTTCTTACAAGGAATTGCTATTATCTATGTGCTAAGGGATGTTCTCTCCATCCAGAGATACAATTGCACCAGTTAGACTACTTGAATAGTAATACTATCCCAGGGGGACCTGAATGTCTGATGTTCCCAACGCATTACCTCTGGGGTCCTGGTCCTCTTCCTGAGAGGCCACTGCTGTAGCTGGATCATCCCCCTGGTCCTGACCCCTGTGGATTCCAGCTTATTGTCACTTCCCTCACAGTGCACAACTGGGGATCTGGGATTACTTGTAGCTGGTCCACAACTGGCTTGCAAAGAAATTTCAGTAGGGATACACTTGGAAAACATACCCCCATGCAATCTTACCCTGGCTTGTATTTTTCAGTTACATACCAGATTGAGTTATGTTTTGACATGGGGACAATGATATGTGTTTTTTTCTCACCCTCAAACCTTTTGAAATTAAAGATCACTTCACATAAAACGCACACCTGGCCCAAAAACGGCCATTGAAACGCACCTTGGAAAATAGTAGCTTAACTTGAACAATTCAAGTCTTTATTCCTTTTCCTCTTGTGAAAGCTGTAACTTCGGAGAGATTTCATGCTTTCATTTTCTGCCAGTACAATTCTAGATCTTAAAGTTCTGGGGGGATATTGATTTTACTGATATAGTAACTATTTCTGAAGGTTGAATCTCTGATATATTTCAGAATCTAGGGGTGGGGAAAGTAAGGGAGTTTCATCTAGACATTTGCTTATTTCCAAAATCAGTAAGGCACAGGAGTTAAGTTCCCATGGCAGTGATCATGTGAGACTAAGAAGTCCACTTCTGTCTGCTCTCTACTTTTTGTGTGACTTAGTTTCTGCAAATAACACCTTGTGTCACATTTACCCAATTATCTCGTGTAATTAGGGTTTGATACTCACCTCCCTGTTGAGAAGAGGATTTAAGAAAAGAGCATCATTTGAAAGCTATCCTATAAATATTGCCAGAGGATCTATTCTGAATGGAATAGACTGTATTTAATCCTAAAAGAAATGTAGAATTTTTTAGTCAAGATGTCTGTGGTGCTGTTTTCTGTTCTGGAGGCTCTGGGAGGGAATCTGTTTCCTTGCCTTGTCTAGTTTGTAGAAGTTGCCTGCACTCCTTGGCTTGTGAACCCCTTCTATCTTCAGAGTCAGCTGGGCCGGTCCAGTCTTTCTCACATCTCATCACTGACACTGGCTGTCTTAGCTCCCTCTTTCGCTTATAAGCACTCTTGTGATTACATCCGACCTACCCAGATAATCCAGACCCATCTCCCCATCTGAAGTTCCTGATTACACCTGCAAAGTCCCTTTGCTGTGTAAGGTAATACTGCGCAGGGTCTAGGGAGGAGGACGTGGACATTTTGGCGGGGGGAGCATTATTCAATGATATTGAAGCATACACAATTTTATGTATTTTAAGTATGTTAAATACTTAACATATTTTATATGTCAGAAATTAACTCCTGAGGAAATTGAAAGACTGACTAAGGTTAGTCTAGAGGGCCCCGTGCCACTCCATTGTTTGGTCACAACTCATCTGACTTCTTAAAAAAAAAAGAGTAATGTTGGGGCGCCTGGGTGGCTCAGTCCGTTGAGCGTCCAATTTCCGCCCAGGTCACGATCTGTGGTTCACGAGTTCTGGCCCATGTCGGGCTCTGTGCTGACAGCTCAGAGACTGGAGCTGCCTCAGATTCTGTGTCTCCTTCTCTCTCTGCCCCTCCCCTGCTCATGCTCTGTCTCTCTCTCTCTCTCTCTCTCTCTCTCTCTCTCTCTCTCTCAAAAATAAATAAAAAACATTTCAAAAATTTTCTCTTAATGTTTATTTTTATTTTTGAGACAGAGGGAGACACAGCGTGAGTGGGGGAGGGGCAGAGAGAGAGAGGGAGACATGGAATGGGAAGCAGGCTCCAGGCTCCGAGCTGTCAGCACAGAGCCCGATGCGGGGCTTGAACTCGCGAACCACGAGATCACGACCTGAGCCGAAGTCGGATGCCTAATCGACTGAGCCACCCAGGCACCCCTAAACAAAAATTTTTTTAAAGAGTAATTTTTCTGGATCTGAGACATAGATGACTACATACATTTGTCGCCTTCACTTTGCCAATTCCCCCTTTTATTTAATTCTGTGGAGACGTGGCACATTGCCCTTGGAACCCAGCCACTCCTTAAAATACTGCCAATTGGGGATTGGATGAGAAAGATTATGAGATGTTTGCTCGAGATAGTGCGGCTCGGTTGAAGGCATATTACAACATCACCAGCAAATAATGAGATTAAAAAAAAAAAAAAAGCATTTATGTGGGGGGTTTGTTTAAGACCAAGTTGACCCCTCCCCACGTTGCTTTAGCACGGTGATGGCTCTCCCTGTGCGTCAGGGTTGCCGCGGGTCTATTTCCAGCGCTCTGCCGCTCCGCCGGTAGGAGCTGATTCCATGCAGCCAGCAGCTGCCCCCGTGCGTCAGGAATGTCCCGTAGCTCACCATGGAGAATCAGGACTTAATTCGTTTACTCTGGCTCCTCCGGGCCTCTCCCTGCCAACACAGCTGCAGTACAGCTCCTCCATCTAGAAACCTGGCAGCCGTCCCAGCTGGATGCCACCTGCCAACACTTTTCTGAAGCCCAGCCAGAGGAGGAAAGAACAGGAGGACGGGGGGCTGAGGAGGGAGGGAAGAGAAAATGCAAATCGAATTTCATTGGCCTGTAGCCCCCTTAGATCTCCATGCTCCCAGAGGTGGTGACACACTTGTATTCAGCGGCCATCACCGGTCTTGCTTGTAAAAGTCCGATTTCGATGTGGGCACGCTTTCCTGAGTGCCGCGAGTCTCTGGAATTACCCTAAACTTCCTCTTTGCTTTGCAGTGATGGAGAAGTAGGAACATCCCACTGACAGGAATGGTAGCCTCCCATGCAGAAGCGGGGTGAGTTGGCGTTCTTACGTCTCTTCACTAATATGCTAATCATTCAGTCATGTACCTTCTTTTCATCTCCATAATGAGCCACAGGGCTGCCCAACTTTTCTGGGATGAGGACCTCTTGTTAATGTCAAATTTTACAGCCTCCCACACTATAGTAGATGTACTTTTAATATCCGTTGATTTAAAAATATGTGAGTTTGGTACGCTTTTGGAAAAGTCTGTGTTTTGTTAATCACAACAGTATCTGATAACATTTAAACACCGGGGAGGACCGACTGCTGCAGGACCTGGCCCAAAGTATGTAAATATTGGTGATGAATAAAGACAGTGCTTGTTGCAAAAATGGATTCATGGGCCTCTTTACAATAACTCAACACCCTAGAGGGGAGTGACTACCAGAAGGGGGATCCATTGGAGGGCAGCAGGGATCTAACTTGCCCAGTTTTGTGTGAGCAAGGGCTGGGGCTGAGAGCAGTCAGTCAGCTCTTTCCAAGAATGTATATGCCCTCGGGAGAAAGACTGCCTATTCCGAACAGGCCCACCCACAGGAAACCACATTGTTGAGATCTCTCCTTTCAAGGTTCGGAATCCTTCAAAACAAACAATGCTTACCCTGTGGGCTGGGACTTCAGTTATACCCTTTTGATTTATATTGCAGACCTTATAGGGAAAAGTGACCCCACAGCAGCTGGAGCTAAGAGGGGAAACTATCCAAGTAGATGAGACCCCAGCCAGGACAGCCAGCTCCAGTCCACCAAAGGGACCTCCCCAAGGGAGAGTGACTTCAAGTTCTCTGCTATCCCACAAATAAGCTGGGGACCAAAGAGGTGTGTGAAGAAACATCTAGCTAGAAAAGAGACTGATAAAGTCTTTAGAAACCGGTAGGGTGTGGTGATACATTCCTGTGTATCCGCCTGGACAACTAGCCAGAACTCTCAAGATTTTCTAACACCCTCCCCGTTTTCCCCCACTGAGGAGTAAGCATTAACCCTTTGGTTGCTGGATCAGTGAGGAGGAGGGGTTCCAAGGTGGTTAGGTGTTCACATAGGGACTCGGTGCAGTGGTAACTTAGCAATCAGTAGGAAAGCATTTCGGTATTTTACAACTGGAAAAGCTACATCTTTGCGTACTGGCTGCTGAAGTTTATAATCAAGAACTCTAAAGTGGCTCATAAAGGGCTTGAGAGCCATGGGGAGAAACTATTGATAACATCCCATCGCCTTCTTTATTTTCTCTCACTGTTACTACAGCAAGTTAAAACCCAGACTCTCTTCTCCTGAAAGAATAAAACTTCTAGGTACTTCTTTGAACCTTTTCCCAAGGTTCAAAGAGAAATTAACTCTGAGTCCAATGCCTACTATGTGCTAGCACCTGGGCTCAGAGTTTTATATTCATGGCTTCATTCCCCCTCACGACCACCGTCTGGGGGGGTAGTTATTACTCCCATCTTATAGGTGAGGAGCCTGATGCCCAAGGTCACACATCTAGTAAAGGGTGTATCCAAATTCCACTCACATCTACTTGACTCCTGAGCTGGCTCCATTCCTTCCCACCATATCACACCATAGTTTTGAATGTTTTCTTGTAAACTATTGGGGCTACAGTTCTCCAGGTGGGCATTTGGGCTGTATATTGGTCAAACAAGCCCACTGTTTTCCTTTAACCCCCCCTTCCCAAACCAACCCTTCTCATATAATAATATTCACTTTATTTTCATTTATTAACTAGTATGTCATTAATCAACCTAATTGCATTGAAGTTCGTACTTTTAATGGAGCAATGAATGGAGCCACATTTAATTTATTTGAAATACGAGCTTACTGCATATAATAAGGCCTTTCAGCCTTAACTTTTTCATTTAGATCTTATTATCCAAGGCAAGAAATAGTTCAATTAAAGACACAAACATATGTACATACACATAGACATTCCCCCAAAGATAACAGTTTCGGTAATTCTGCAAGATCTCCTTGGGTTTTCTTCTAAAGCATTTTCCATGGAAATCAATTTCATGGACTTGTTAATGTGAGCAAGTGCCTCATGATAAAGATTACATCCTTTCATGAAACCTTGCCAGCCCCCATTACTCCTCAGCCTTTTTATCTTCTGTTTGTTGATAATGTAGTGTTATAAATGCCCATCAAATACAAATCAATAATGATAAATGTCTGTTCCCAATTAATTTTATCTAACATCTGATACACACCAGATTGCTGAGTGCAATTGCAAAGCCTTTCTGGTGGGGAGGGAGGGTCTGTGGAACAAAATGCCTTTGTTTCTGATTGTAGCCTTCCTGTCCCTTTCCAGAGTGTGCTCAGCCTCATGCGATGTGTCCATATTTCATCCTCCATAGTGAAAAAGGCAAACAGCCATCATCTTTCTGGGGCTGTGTGTGTAGGAACTACACGGATGAAAACGAGCTGTGTAGGGATTCAATGCACTCTACCTGCAAAATGACAACAGTTGTGGCTTTTCTATCCTTTTGGGTCCAAACAAGGAGCAGAATGGTCTGTAGCTAATATTTTAGGATTTGATGCAACAGCTGGTAGACTGTATTTCTTTTACTCTGGGAAAAGATTTAAAGCTGGATGGGAAGTATCTTATCTGGACTTCTTATAAACATATAACTCTTCAGTTCCCCCCCGCCCAACCCCCCGCCACCTCAAGTTCATCAATCATATTGAATTTTAAAAGATATCCCTATTGTCCTACTTTAATGTAATGTAATTTTATTTCTTAAACGTATTATATAGTATTTAATTTAATAGTATAGTATTTAATACATTTAAAAAAAAAAAAGAACAAGAAAAAATATAAAAGTTATCCCTGTATCCACCACTCAGCTCACGAAATAAAACACTGGGAACAAAGTTAAATTCCCAGTAGGTTCCATGCCTTCTTGATAGAGCCTGTTATTCCTAAGAGGTTATTTCCTGAAAGACTGGGGACGTGGATGCTTGGCTCTGCACCTCTTTGCAAAGCCATAGAAATGACCCTTGTGTCTCCAGCCTCTGTGCTGTCAGAGTCAGGGGTGATCACGTGGTTTTCGAGGTTTTATGTTCGCCATGTAGTGTCTGCACCTTGGCTATGACTTCTGGGCATTTTTCCTCCAGCCTCATTGTCAAATGGAAGTGCACATATCTTCCCATGACTGCCTCTTCCAGAGTGTTCAGTGTGAGAGCCCCAAACTCTTAACCATAGTTCTGAATTGCGGCTGGCCAAAGAGACCAAGGGTTGCTGGGCAAGCTCTTTGGACTTCAGACAGACTTGAATTATTGAGGAGAAAGGGGTGCCACTGGCTCCTGAAGCCTCAGCCCTACAGTGACAACTGTGTGCTGCAGACTGACCCCAGTTTGAGCCGGTCCTGGGGCTGGGTGAATGTCCAGGTGTCTCTCCCCCTGGCTTCTTCTGAGCATAATTGTCCCAGCTGGAGAGCTGTGGACCAGTGTTTCTTCAGGCCCCCATCTGAGTTCTCCCGTCATGGGTCATTTCTGGTGAAGACAGTACTCAGAATATTAACTTTTACATTATTCTGGGGACATGCATCTTAGGTAAAAATAATACATTCAGGCCCAGTGACTTTAAAGATAAGGGGAAAAATACAGAAAACTTGAGGAGTCATTTGCCCTGTTGCTCCTACATATTGCAGCCCAATAAACACATTCCTATACTTATTTATGGTGTAGACCACTCATTTTTCCTTACACGGGAATCTTATTAAAACAATAAATCAATGTTAACCTGGGTTTTAAATTGGCCCAATATGTTTAGAGAACTTGCTGGTTTAATTTTCCTATTTTTCATTTTCAGTTAACTAATTTCGTTTTCCCAGTTGGGATACCACAACCTTAGCATGTGGATTTATCTTGAAACCAGGAAGCCCTGACATACATTGCTGCCCAAACAAGAGGAATCCCAGCGTTCTATCCTATAATGAACAACAAAAAAGCATATATCCAGAAGATATCTATCCTGATGATTGCAAAGTGCTTAAGCCTAGGCTCTGAGAAAAAGCACCAACTGCCTTCACGTTCTTCTGGGTATTCTGTTCTACGTTTTCTTCACATCTCCTTTGACTGAAAATTTCCAGGGCATCTGTGTTTATGGACTGAATGTTTATGTCCCCCCCCCCCAGCCCAAATTTGTATGTCGAAGCCCTAGCCCCAACATAACTGTATTTGGAAATAGGGTAGGACCCTGATCCAGTAGGATTCGTGTCCTTATAAGAAGAGGCACCATCAGAGCACTCTCCTGTCCCTCTCTCCCTGTCTCCCTCTCCCTAGCACAGGCAAGAAAAGATCACGTGAACACAAAGCAAGATGGCAGCCACCTACAAGCCAAGAGAAGAGGCCGCAGAATGAAACCTATTTTGCCAACACCTTGATCTGGGACTTCCAGCCTCTAGAACTGTGAGAAAATAAGTTTCTGTTGTTTAAGCCATCCAGTTTATGACAATTTCTTATGGTAGCCCAAATAGATTAAGACACTCCCCCCCTCCCCCAACAATGTTTTCCCAGGAACATGGCCACAATTGCTGGTGCCCCTCCCCCCCTGAAGGACTGCTTGGTGTCCCCACACATGGGTACGACTGGAGAGATCTTGGCTCTCTAAGGGGCCCACACCACCACAGCTTGAGGAGGATGCAACACAGCCCAAGGCCCCAGAGGATGACTGAGGACCAGATGCTAAGGGAAGCTTTTTTTCAGCCATCAACCCCTAGAGGAATATGTGTGTGTGAGTGTGTATGTGTATGTGTGTGTGCGTGTATGTCTGTTGAGGGGTAACTTTTTCAAAGGGTCCATACTAGAAATGTCCTCAAGTTCAGGGCTGCGTGGGACTTGTTCCCCACCCTGAAGTATGCAACCAAAGTGTGAATGTTGGCCTCAGAAGATACCAGCTCAGTGAGGGCTGTATCTGGGGAAGCTGTTCGATTTCATGGAAAGAGCATTGGCTCTAGAGTCAGAGAAAGCTGGGTTCCAATTCAAGCTTTTTAGGGCATGCATCAAAATAGTATAAGCAAAGGCTGTATTGGCTCATGTCACTGAAAAATCCAAGGAGTTGTTATGCTTTCAGGCACAGCAACATCAAGGCCCTCAAAAGATGTTATTGGAAATCTGTGTTCTATCTTTCCATGCTATTTCTCCAATGGCTTCACTCTGGGGTCTTCCTCAGTAGCTATAGACTCATGTGATCCTTAGTACTCAGGATGGGTGGAGGAAGGAGAGAGTCTCTTTCCAAGGGTACAACAAAGACTTGGTGATATTGCTGATTGGCCAATTCTAAATCACATATTCACCCCTGGGTGGGATGGGGCGGGTGGGGACTCCCAATTAAACCTGGAAGAGATGATACTGTTACTTAAGGAGGAAGTGATGCAAGTCAGGCCAAATCAATAATGTCTACATAGACACTAAAGGACTGTGTGATTCTAAGCAAGTTGTTTAACCTCTTTGATCCTCAAGTTCCCCTTTTATAGAATGGTTATACGAGTACCTGCCACCAAGGAAGCTACACAAAGCTCAAGGCACAGAATGGAGGTGTAATAACTGTTAACTTTCTTCTTGCTTCCTTTTCCTGCTCCTGGCCTTCTCCTGGAGGCCTGGGAATGTACCAGGTTTGCCTTGATTGGTATTGAAGATGTCATGCTGTTTCAGGTTGGGGATCCTTGAGCAGTATGAAGACTTCAGAATACACTCAATGGAGTTCCTGTGCCAGGGGTCTGTTGCATTTGGCAATGGTGGCCTCCAGGGCACAGTGGACTCTGAGTTGGGCTCTTCTCTGGTTGGGCTCAGCCCTGGGACATCCGGAAAGGCTGGCGGAGGCCTTGCAAAGGGCAAGTGACATCTGCAGTTGTCTGGAAAGGAGAGCTTACAACTGCAGCAGGTACCTCCTCATCAGTTTCTGGAACTCAAAATAAAATCCCTCGGTATATAGCGCTCCCCCAAGTAAACTAGGCTCTGTACAAGATACGCAGCGCCTTTCAGAGCTGTGGGGCCTCTCAGCCAAACTGCTGCCCTACTTGAATTGGGCTTTGTGACCTCTGAAGAATCCTAATGTAGATTTACCTCTGAAAATGCTTAAGAGAGCCTGCTTGAACACACTGGAATCATGTACCTGATCAGCAGGCAGCAGGGTTAAAACTGCCAGATCTGTTCTTCCCACTGCCACTTGCTCTCCCTCCCTAGCCATCCTCACAACACCTTGCTGTTCCTTTATCCATAGGTTATAAGAGTACGGGAATCTGCACTCTCAGTTCCTAGATGTAGAGTGGCCAGGTCAGAGCATGGGGTCATCTGCCGACAACAGTCAGGCCCACGGGAAGCAGGTCTGGCTTCTTAGTGCCCTGACGTTGCATTTTTAAAGGTCGCCCACAGATTCTGAGGAAACCCAAAAGAGACTAAGAAAAGAAATATCACTTCCTGAATTTCTTTTAAGTCCCGGTACCTAGTGTCCCGAGATCCCCCTTTATTTATTCTGGGATCTTGACACAGGGTCTCATTTTCGTGGCTGCTATAGAAGATACCACAATAACTTTTGTGTGTATCTCCACAGATTTCAGCAACACCTTCCCAACCTCAATAAGAGGCTGTGGAGATAAATGAGAAAACATATATGAAAATGTTAAGGGCACTTTGGTGGAGAAGTTCTATATAACCTGAAGGCAGCATTGTTATTAATGACAATGAACGTGGTCGTTGTCTCTTGTGCCACCAGTAGCTCAGAGCAGAGGTTATTTAGGGGCAACGGAAAGTTATCCTGGTAATAACTTGGGAAAGGGGGCAAACTCAAGCTCCAGAATGGGAGAATGTGCTAGAAAACTTTTTCAATATGACATGTAAGTGGTGTTGAAACCGCTATCTCCTTCAGAGACAGTGATTTATGGGTAAAATTGCCAAAGTTGGTGTGGTTCACAAAGATCTCAGTGTAAATGGAGACATATAAAGTCATCATAGAGATTCATATCAATGGACCTAATGTGGCCACTTTGAAGGCTTCCGATTTATGTAATTTGGGTCTTTCATTTACAAATCCATTTCCTTGGGACAGTTTCATTTCATGTAGCATATGTTTGCTAATCTTTAAAGAGCTTCTTTTGAGAGAATGAAGAAGAGCCCCTGTATATACTGTTGGTGGGAGTGTGAAATGGTACAACTTTTTTTAAAAAGTGATTTTGGAATAGCTAGCCAAATTAAAAATGCAAAAAGTCCTATGACACAGCCATTCCATTTTAGGAGTAGAGTCTGCACATATATTGGCATAAAGGGCTGTGTGTAAATATCGCACCCAGACCATGAATTCAACCTCAGTCCTTTTCAGTAGAGCCACAGGTGAAATAGACTGTGGCCACCGTAGGACACTGTGCAGTTGTTAAGAAGAATGAGGTAAATCCACACGTGAAGATTTGGGACAATCCATACAGCGTGTTAGCTGAAAAAAAAAAAAAAGTACACAATAAAAAAAGTTACACAGTAGTGTGCACAGTGTGCTTCCGTTTATGTAAAAAATTGGTAGGGGTGGGGCGCCTGGGTGGCTCAGTCGGTTAAGCGTCCGACTTGAGCTCAGGTCACGATCTCGCGGTCCGTGAGTTCGAGCCCCGCGTCGGGCTCTGGGCTGATGGCTCGGAGCCTGGAGCCTGCTTCCCATTCTGTGTCTCCCTCTCTCTCTGCCCCTCCCCCGTTCATGCTCTGTCTCTCTCTGTCTCAAAAATAAATAAACGTTAAAAAAAAAATTAAAAAAAAAATTGGTAGGGGTGCCTGGGTGGCTCGGTCGGTTAAGCGTCCGACTTCGGCTCAGGTCATGATCTCACGGTCCGTGAGTTCGAGCCCCGCGTTGGACTCTGTGCAGACAGCTCAGAGCCTGGAGCCTGTTTCGGATTCTGTGTCTCCCTCTCTCTGACCCTCCCCTGTTCATGCTCTGTCTCTGTCTCAAAAATAAATAAATGTTAAAAAAAAAAATTGGTATGTGTGTGTGCACAGAAAATTACCAGAAAGATATGCCAGAAATTATTAATAAGTGTATCAGGACTGCGGGTCTGGACTGCAAGAGAAGCTAACTTTTCATTACTACTAAGCTACTACTAAAAGCTAACTTTTCATCACTAACATTTCATCTCACACTGCTTGAATTTTATTTTATCCTGCTCAGGCATTTATTTTGCAACTAGAGAAAAACACTAGGAAACAAACCAAGGAGGCCCCTTTCAAGGGGAACCCCATTTCCAACACAAAAGCTGCTGCCACCCCATTAGCGGCTCTGGTTCTGTAACGGAGAGACCGTTTGCCCTCTGGCCAATCACGTTTTAAAGACCACCTTTGTTCACTGATGGAAAGAGACAGACATGCAATTTAGAGCTCTCTTTTAAATCAGAAGGAAGGAATCAAGGAGACATGTTCCCTTGAAGCTCTTGGGATGTACCGTTAGCCTCTTTGCCCGCCCAGCCTGGCTCTCTGTGAGTAGTTCTCATTTTTGTTTTTTTTTTTAGCTGTGGGCTCATGGGGATTAGCCAGGGCTAAGAAGGAGGCAGGACTCTGAGTGCACCACGGATTTTGGAATGTCCTAAGCCTGGGAAAATGAAGTGGACCCTGGCTACTCCCAATAGGTAATTGCCCCCTTAGTCACCTGCACTTTCTTTTGATGATTTATTAATTTTGATGCTGAACCTTAGAGAAAGCATAAGAAAGTATGGAGCTGAATTTTTTTCACTACTGCTTTATTTACTTGTTTACTTTTTAGCGGCTTGTCATTAGTGATTCCATACTTAATGTCTTTATATTTTCTATTACGATAAATTCAAATGTGGGAAATTTTAAAAAGACCTCTCTTTTGTGTTGTTTATCACATTGGTAAGCCCTTAAAAGTTTGGGAGTACAAGTATTGGCGGAAGTGTCAGAGGCAAAGGCAGGCTGATTTATTTAATGGTGGTATAAACTGGCTCAATCCTTTCAGAAGACAGTTTGGCAGGGTCTGTTCAAATTAAGATATGTATAGTTTCTGACCCTGCAATTTCCCTTCTAGAAGTTTCTCTTGCAGAAACACTTGCAGGTGTGCACACAGATTATTACAGGAGAATTGTATTCATTACTGTTTCTATTCAGGAGCACTGGAAACAACCCAAATGCATATCAATAGCAGATTAAACAATCATGCTAATTCCATACAAGGGGACTCTATGGTGTTACGAAAAGAGAGAAGCCGTTCTCCATGTATTGATGTCAAAAGATGTCCACTACTGAGAGCCAAGTTTAAAAAGAAAAAGGCAAAGTAAAAACAGCATTACATATGTTCTCATTTCAATTTATATGTACTATAAAGATCCATAATAGCATGCACTGAAAAAAAGTATCTGGATGAATATAAACCAAGCAGTGTTTATCTCTGAGGTTATAGGGACTTTCGCTGTTTTATGGCATGCACTTTGTAATTTTTATTACAGCCATGTGTTACTTTTATTATCAGAAATAACAACAATGATTCTTAAAATAAGAAAAAAAATATTGATCAGAAGAAAGTACTGCACACTCATTCTTAGAAACAACTGACACCAGAGATCTTGTGATGTTATTCTTGAAAATCAAGGGATTCTACTGAACAGGTTTGCACACCAGTGACTGGATTCGGGAAAGTTGTTTTGGGGTTTTTTGGGGGTTTTTTTGTTGTTTGTTTTTTGGTTTTTGGTTTTTTTGCTTATGTAGTGCAATGCTGCTGCACGTGATTAAAACATATTTTTTTCCATGGGTTGGAGAAGTAGTAGCCTAATAGCTTATTTCCTAAGATTTCCACTAGAAAAGCCCACAAGTTGTTTTAAGATGCTTACATGAACACAAATTAGAAAGTGACAAGCCTTTCTTTATTACACATTAGTGAGAAGGAGGAAGAGGGGCGTGAGGGAGAAGGAGGAAAGGGGAGGTGCAGAAAAGCAATTGGATGCTCTATTCAGGAAATGGTATTCCTTTTTTCCTCCATCAGTGGGGATGCATTCTGCAAGCTTCCAGCTAGAAGAAGGTGCTTGTAGATCTTTTCAGACCCTCTCTTTTCTATTTAACTCTTCAGGCACCAAGTTTTCATGAATTTGCACACTTTCTAAAACTTTGGGATGACAGTGGAAACTCTTCTTTTCTTATAGAATGGTTTATGGTGCCCTCTTTTGGATTTCCATTTCAATTCCCAGGCTGGAGCATGACCCCTGCCGCTCTGAGTTGAACCTAAGAAATGTGACCAGAACTGGGTTTCCACACAGCTGGCTGCTTGTTTTGTTTTGTTTGGTTTGGGATATGAGGAGTAGGGATTCCAATTCCCACTCGTGTCTGGCTAGTCCTGGGTCCTGGAAGGGACCAAGCTGGTGATCCCTTCCAGCTTTCCCATGTATAGTGAGGAATTGTAGGCTGGGGATGAAAAGGTTGTCTCTGTGGCCGAGAACAGCCAGCAAAACTCTGCTCTCCTGTTATTCCAGTCAGCTACCTGACTTCCGCTCTTCCCATGGCTTTATAATGAAAATTGTTCAAATGAAGATGTATGACTTTATTTTGGTGGGATGTCTCAGGCGTTTGGTTTGAGGGATGAAATGCGTACTTAGCTTTCCACTCATGCATAGCCTAGCTAGTCTTTTCATTACTGCATTTGGCTCAGTCTTTGCCCATCAAGCTCTGGCCTCCTTCCTAGGATAAGTCATGGCTTTGACTCCAGAGGCAGCCTGAGCCTCCTGCCCCTCTGATGCTGCTTCCCTGGGCTGCCAGCGTTGGCCTGGATCACAGGGCCATTGTGTCAATATCCTTCAGTCTTCAACCTAGGAGATGAAATTTGAACTGCTCTTGGGGGCAGGATGTCAGCTTCCTGGAAAAACAACAGACTCTGTCACCTGGAACTGAGTGGCAACATCCAAGCTGTGAGGTGAGAGCTGAAGCAGCCTGGGTGGTAGAGGTCAGGAGCTTAAGGCCTTGGGGTCTACACCCGCACAGGCGGCAAGCTGGAAGGCTCCATACTCTGGGTCCCTTTCTGGCCATTCATTTATGAATGTCATCAATTCAAAGAGGAGGGAAGACAGTCACAATGCAATGACACTGGAAATGCCCTGAAATTGTCAGCCCATTATGAAAAATGTATATACTAGAGATTTTCTCAAATTGGACAATATCCTAAGATTCACATGGTATTTCCAACAATGAGTCATAAAACTAAAATAAAGTACTAAACCATTAGTATTAAAAACACATTTTTAATCAATCATGGTAGAGGAAAGAATGAATTCACTTTCTGGACTCTTTAGCAAATGATATTGCAACATTGTTGGTATACGAAAAGGCAATCAAAGAGCATGCAGCTGAAATGGGGGTAGGGAAAGGACTAGAGAGGAATATCAGACTGTTAATGAATATGTGATGTTGTTTTTCTGCATGTTGTAATGTTTGTGGTATTTGTCACCCCTTTAGATTTTTAATTCATTTTGATTTCTTTTCTTTACTGTAAATAAATATGCAGTTTGGTGCCCAAATTCATACTCTTTTACTTAAAGAGGGACCCTCCTCCAAACTGTGTAAACATCATTCCCCCACCAAGCCTGGGTTAACTTTTGTACGTCCTTCTTGCTCTGGTTCCCAGCTGTATGTGTGTGTCTGGTATTGGCCAGGTAACATCGACATTATCATTATCTCCTTTGCTTCTAATCTTTCAAAGAGCTGCCACATCTGTGATCCTGGATCTAGTGTAGAGACAGTGGATGACTCCTAGTTACTTATACTACCTGTGCTTTAGTTTTCTCATCTTTAAAATGGGGATACTCCCAGTACATACTTTGTAGGATCGCTATGAGGGTTCAGTGAATTCTTATAGGTAAGGTGCTGGCCAAAGCAAGCCCTGTATAAGAGGTTGCTTTTACTTTATTCTTCTTTGTCTTTCCATATACATTTCACAACATGCAATAGAACAAGACCTCAGACTTTTTTTTTTTTTGAAGTTTATTTATTTATTTTGAGAGAGAGTGAGTGGGAGAGGGGTAGAGAGAATCCCAAGCAGGCTCCGCACTGTCAGCACAGGGCTCATGGGGCTTGAATTTAAGAACTGTGAGATCATGACCTGAGCGGAAATTGGACGCTTAACCCACTGAGCCACCCAGGCACCGCATTCCCTCAGACTTTTTTTACCCTCTTCTCCCTCTGCCCCTCAGTATAATTATATTGGGAATTTGGGGGATGAAAGGGAGGTTAGAAGTGTTAGGACTCATATGAAAGGTGACAAAATCTTCATCATGTAGAAAGTCAACAGATAAAATAAAAATTCATAAACCCAGAAATTATAACGGAGGCACATTATCTAGAAATACAGAGATAAATACCAGAAGAAATAGCTGAAAGATTTGAAACGTGTGGGCTCTGAGGAGACAAGGAAGGAGGGAGCTGGAAATTGCTGTGTTTATCATGAGCGTTGACTTTCTTAACTGTGTGCATGTGCAACTTCAAGTTTTTCTAATTTTAAATATTTTTTAAATGTTACAAACACAAATATTTGGCCAAAAATACCCCTCCAAAGCATTCTCTTGGTTGGAAGAAATGGTTGAGTTTTTTTTTTTTTTCCCCGATGTGATAACGATGCTCTTGGTTACTCTTTGTAGTCATTTTAATAAGAAAAATTAATAAGCAGCAAATTGCAACAAAAAGGAAGAGGGTTTGTTTAGGTAAATTGTAAGTAAGCTTTCCCTTGTGGAAGCCTTTGCTTAATTGGGCTGCAGCTGGTGCTAATTTATTCTCTTCACTGTATCTCATTTTGGTCTTGAATGTGTATTTGCGTGTGTTTGTGTTTTAAGCTTTACATAATTTGAGGCTTTCATTTGATGGCATGAGTTTGGCTCCAACGGGAACTGCTCACGAGCAGCTTATCCTAAAGAAGAATTTACTTTTGGGGACAGTTGCTTTGCTGTACATCTGGGAGCTACTGATTGTAATTGGACTACAGCTGGGAAGAACTAGGTTGGTGGTTCCTCCATGATCACAGTCGATCTTATTTTCCCATTATGTTGTTCTCTCGCCCCATTCCTTCCTGCATCTCGATCCGGTATTGAAGGCCCTGCATGATGAGCAAGGAGCTGGGATGAAAGAAGCTCTGATTGTCTGGTTAATAAGCACCCTGTTTCACTGGGCATGGAAATCAATGCTTGAGCCTCTGTCTAGAAAAGGCAGCATTCTGGGCACAGACTAGAGAGACAATTGGCATTTTTAGCTTGAAAAATGGAGAATACCATCTGGGTGTATTTTTCGTATGCCTACGAGTATTTCTGCTGGGTGTGCTGGACAGCGACTGCATGCCATTGTCCTCTAACAAGTGGCATCCATCGTGGTCCCATCTCTCCACAGCTCACAAGAAAAGCAATGCACAGAACATACTGTTGTTGATTTTTTTTTTTCTAGTCTAGGTACAACAAGCAGGTTTCATTTCAGTACTGAATTTCAAGTCAAACTTGCAGCCACAATTAGTCACATAGGGAAGATTCTTCCTGTTCTCTCTTTGCTGTTCATATTTTACAGAGCCAATACCTAGCTTAAAAAAAAAAAAAAAGTAATTACAGGGGCACCTGGTTGGCTCAGTGGGTTAAGCATCCCACCTTGGCTCAGGTCATGATCTCACAGTTCATGGGTTCGAACCCCTGCGTCGGGCTCTGTGCTGACAGCTGGGAGCCTGGAACCTGCTTCGGATTCTGTGTCTCTCTCTCTGCCCCTCCCCACTCGTGCTCTGTCTCTCTCTCTCTCTCAAATAAATAAATGTTAAAAAAAATTTTTTTTAAAGTAATCAGTGACCCACTGCCAGCTGTTTTATAAGGCAAAAATGGGGATTTTGAGTTTGAGACATATTAAATCATATTACAAGATACTACTAAATTATTCTCTCTATAAGAGACAAACGAAGTATTCAAAGTAACTTTGTTAAAAGCAAAGCAGTGTTGGGATGCCTGAGTAGCTTGGTCTGTTTAAGCCTGTGAGTTCGGCTCAGGTCATGATCTCGCGGTTTGTGGGTTTGAGCCCCGCGTTGGGCTCTGTGCTGATAGCTCAGAGCCTGGAACCTGCTTCAGATTCTGTGTCTCCCTCTCTATGCCCCTCCTCCACTCTGTCTCTCTTCCTCTCAAAAATAAACATTAAAAAAAAAAAGCAGTGTTGAAACTTGAAAACCTTAGGCTCAATGAAATATGCCAGATACCAAAGAACAATTATTGTATTCTTCCACTTACATGAGGGACCTGGAATAGTAAATTCATGACAGAAAATAGGATGGTTGTTGCTAGGGACTTTTGGAGGGAGGAATGAGGAGAGACTGTTCGATGGGTACAGCATTTCTGTTTGGGATGATGAAAACATTCCAGAAATGGATAGTGATGATGGTTGTACATCATGGTGAATGTACTTAATGCCACTGAATTATATACCTAAAAATGGTTAAGATGGTCGCTCTTATGTAGTGTATATTTTGCCACAATTTTTAAAAATGTAAAAAAACAAAACAAAAGAAAAAGCAGTGTTTCCTGTATGATGCGAGCGCAATCCAAATTGTATAAATAGACACGTGTGATTTTGAAACACTCAGAGATACTTCCCCGTCACCCTTTGGCTGTTTTTTGTCATGCTGTTTCTCAACAAGAATTAGCAAGGGAAATAAAGGGAAGATAAATTTAACTTTATAAATACTGCTGATTATTGGCCTCATGCATGGTCCTCTTGCAACAGAGGCCTTGTAACAGCCCAATCAATACTTATGTTTAGGGATTATCAGTAGATTTCAAATTGTTCTCACTCTACTGACCTTCAGTGATTGTAGATAATATGTTTTGGACGTGCAGGAGCTCAATGTGGTCACTGCTGCTCTGCCCTGACTGCAACCGGCTTCCCAAACAGCTGCAGAAAGAATTTTCCCAATAGTTCAGCCAAAGGAGAGCGGTGGGAATTCTGTAGGATTAGGGCTGGAATTTGGAACTTTTGCACAGAGGCTGGGATGAGGCAGATGGACATTTAAGCTATTTGTTACACGAATGTTTCCAAAGCCCAGCTAACTCTTGCCTATGTTACCTTATCTCAGAATAAGCTCCCTCCTGCAGTGCTAACAAGTCACCTTCCCCTATCACAGGGTGGTGTCCCCTGAGGTGGGCGGGAAGCACCTGTAGTCACTGCATTGAGCACCACAAACCCGGCAAACTACAGAAGTCCCTCCCTGTTTCAGGACTGAACATTTGCTCTGTGGTGACCCACTGACTATGTCAAGATAAGCAGTCAGAAGATCAATGTGTTTTATACTTTCTTCCCTTTAATATATTTAAATCATCCCTAGAAGAATCTGTCGTTTCAACTCTTTGATTTTATTTTTTTATCTTATTTTTGAGAGAGAGAGAGAGAGAGCGTGCGCGCAAGCAGGGAAGGGGGCAGAGAGAAAGGCAGACAGAGGATCCAAAGCAGGCTGCGTGCTGACAGCAGAGAGCCTGATGCAGGGCTCAAACTCTCTAACTGCGAGCCTGATGTGGGGCTCAAACTCACAACTGCGAGATCGTGATGTCAGCCAAAGTCCGATGCTTAACCGACTGAGCCACCCAGGCGCCCCTGTTTCAACTCTTCTTAAGATTTTGTACCTTTGGTTTCATATGTCAAAATTAATGGAGAGGAAATAAGTTACTATATCTTTGTATCTTGAATGAAAACATAATTATGATGCCTCTAGCCCAGTGTCTGGTCATGCTACGTGTCTTATGGCAGAAACCATGGCCAGTGCTCTCCAGCTTTCTGCATGTGTATAAATATCTTGTTCTAGGGGATAAGGTAAATGTACCTAAGCCATTCATAGAGTATTCTAAATGAGAGGGCATCCTGGGGAGTCAGGGAGGGCTTAAATGTTAGAACTGTGTGAAGTATATACATTGT